GTGTACGGTCGGACGAGAACGACACAAAAAAATTAGCTTTGCCCACCAAAAAAAATCAGCCTTATGTTTCTGTTTCTGTTGTCGTTGTTGATCTGTGGGACTCTTTTGTACCTGACCCCTAGCTTAGTAATTTTGCTTTCTTTTTTGCACTGAAGAAAAAAACCATAATTATAAGATTTATGAGAAATGTGGACTTGCTAGAGAATATTAAATCTACAAAGTTTTAATAAGGTTTTAAAATTTAATGAAAATATTAAGTATTTAAAAGTACTTTTTTATTAATAAAAAAAAGTATCTAAAATATCACTAGACTAGTGGCATATACTTTAGAATATTAAGGGATATTTAGTTGCATGTTATAAACACTATTTTACAAAATTTCAGTGTCTTGCATACGTGTAACTCGACCTTGTTGTGATCTAAAGTCCTAATTAATAATTTAAAGATATTTATGATGCCTAATTGGAAAATTTGAAGTCTTTTCAACCATATTTGAGCTCATGGGTAACATTTTTTTTAGCACATTTAATATTGCGGAGGCGATAATATATTAAACTCACACATACTATACGGATACTATGACTTGAATCCATGACCTTTAATGGAAGAACAATTGCTCCAAACCACTACATAATGTATCTTTGCAATGGATAACATTATTTGTATCACCTCATCTGTTTTTCGAAGAATTTATATTTCAATATTTTTTTCCTTTAAAGATTTTTTTTTCTTTAATTCACATTTTTTAATACTAGAAAGAAAATTATTAGTAGATTAAGAGCTAGTTACTATGCCTTGATGTAATAAAACCATGTTCACCCTTCCAAATTCAAATCTAATAGATGAGGTAGACTTTCATCATCTTAATTCTTCTTCTGGAGAATCCATAAGTAGCCAGTGCTTCTCAGAAAAGCAACTTTGAAATAACATCATAAGCAAAAGGGGTAAAAGCCCCTAGAGAAAAGAAAGAGAAAAACACTTGCAAATGGATGATGAGAGAAACTGAGAAACAGGGTCTTCAAATTAACTTTGTGTTTCAGCAGCTGAGTTTGCCTTAAATGAAGAGTGGCTTTTTATTTATTATAAATTGTATGTAAATGGAATAAGAGCTTGCAACTTCTGATTCTGCCAAATTAACTTCAACTTCTTATTGCAGGTTATCATGATGACTAAGAGGTTCAAGGTTTCTCTTATTAATGCTCTCTGTTTCACTCCCAAAATAACAAATGGCTAGGCAAGTTTTCAAATCTGAAAATTGCTTGGAATTGAGAAGTAAATTCTATTTTCTCCAGAAAGTGACGATATGTATGAAAGTGATAGGAAAATCAACTTTATGTATCCGACTAAAATGATTTTTTTCTTCTTCATATAGTAGAAGTTGAAACTCTCCTAAAATAATAATAATAATTATGTATAAAAAAAAACAGAGACACGCATAAGCGGCCAACCCAATTATGAGGCTGTCTCCTCCAAGAACCAAGATACTATTCTTTTTAGTCTATCTGGACATTGACCGTCCTGCCACAAAGTGCTCATTAGATGGACGTTGCTCCACCCCCCACGCTGGAAATAATCTAAAGCTTCCTCAGAGTTCTCTGTCACTCTAAATGATGAACTGGACCCTGCAATAATATTGGTTTGAACTGTTCTAACAAACTAGCCGTTAAATATAGGCTTGACCAACTGGACCACATCATCTGCCTACCATACCAAACCGTTATTATAAGATGAATGAAAGTATCAAATGTCGAATTTGTCCTTTCTCGTGCATTTTTTATGTGCCGTTACAGAAAGAGAGAAATGATGAGAAGACTCGGTTAATAAGATGCCAATCAAAAGCAGTGCAAACCAAGCAAGCATATAATCCTGTATGATTATGAATAGCGACAGACTGTGATCCTTGTTTATTACTATCATTGTTCCTTGTTGTTGGTTCATATGTTTTTTTTGTTTTTTTATTTTTAAAAGCGAACTATTTTAATTTCTTTTTTTTATCACCAACTGGATTTATGTGATTTTTTTCTTCCTCTTTTGTCTTAATCAAATGAGCTTATAGGCTGTCAAGCGTATGTATTCTTAACATTAGGGGAAAAAGAATTACATGGGAAGGTAGAATATATTCTATTGTAAGAATCAAGCTTTTTGTAAAGGTGATTCTTGAATGATAACTTAAAAAATGAATAGTTCGGCCAGATTATGAGATTATATTGTGCAATAGATTCAAACGAATAATTAGTGACATATAAATTTACTAACTGGTTAGCGCTTGAGTGTACATCAGCCTCCATAACCCAAAAAAAAAAAGAAACCAAATCTACGATATAACCTTGAGAATCGAACCCAATCCGCCATGATATATATTTGCATGTCTTCGTTGGCGTTATAAGAATTTGAACAAAAATTAATTAAAAACTACTCCATAAATAGTGTATCGGTTAACATTTTCCTACTATAATTATTATAATAATGATACTGTCTTGCTGTAAAATAGTTTTTTTAAAACTAGAATATTCGGCCACTAAGCTTAGGGTGCTTTACCAATTATTAAGTTCCAGAAATACCCTCCCATGAGACCTCAAATTCCATTGATCACCCTGGCCAGCAGGCCCAGCACCAGCTGCTGCAACCACCAACACCTTTTCTTTTTGAAGAAACCAAAGCTCTGCCTCTAACCCCCCTCCATTTCTATATATACCACCAGCTCACACTTCTCCCTCTCAGCATACCAATTGCATAAAATACGACAACGTTTTAGAGAGAGAGAGAGAGAGAGAGAGAGAGAGAGAGTTTGTGCATATTGTGATGGAAAATAAGTCGGAAAAGAACTCGAAGAAGGAGAAGGCCGTTTGGTCGTTAAAGAAGGTGATCAGCAAAGAGCTGTGGCCAAGGAAATTCTCAGTGTTCAAATGGAAGCGTCTGGATTTTCAGACGACCATCCTAGACGACGTCGTCTTCAAGGTTCTCTCTGCTGTGGAGGTTGTCGTTCTGGTCTCCACACTCTGCTTCTTCTACCTTTGCTGTGGTTGCCACATCTGACTGACGTCATTCATTCATTCTAATTAGTAATTAGTTTCTTAATTTCATCTTTTAATTTGTATAATTGGGTATTAATTTGATGGGTTTTTGCTTTTGTTCCCAAAAGTTGGGCATAAAGAGCATGTAAACTAGATAGTTCTTTTTTTTTGGTTCTTGAGAATTCATTTGTGTAGCGGTCCATTTTCATTTGGAAAATAAGATGAAGTGATGAACTCTGTTATGATTCATGGTGAGTGTGTGTGCGTTTGTTTTATTTTTTCAAGCTTACTCTCTTTACTTCAATTTTTCCAGTTTCTACAAAGTTATCCCATTACTTAAAAAAAAGTTAAAAGAAAATTAGAGTTGGGTGATATCAATATGTACTTTGATTTTTTTTTTTTTATAAAAAAAATCTGTTTTGCTCAAAGTAATTACATAAAACCTAGATACCAATTAGACTATCAACACCAATTTGCCAATTTGCAAATGGGAATGAAATATTGCAAATAATTATGGGTGTGTTGAGGCCCAAAAAATCCATGGTTGGGCTCAAATAAATTCCTAACCCAAAGCAATATATTATCGAGAAAAGACCCGATTTGAAGTGCACAGAAGTCTGCCATGCACAAGCCATATCCTACATGCCATGCCAAATAAAAAATTTGTCACGCTAGAAACTGATATTAAAATTATAAAAATGCATTTAGCTCTGCAAATCCATGCCAATTATCCTATCAAGCACCATAATTAAAAAAAGCATGCCAAGCGACATGCCATGCCAAGCGAGAAATTATTATTTCACACCCAATCACACTACAAGCTTAAGTGGGCCCAAGCCACTCAAATGTCCGGGGCTTGCTTGAGTGGGTTGTGGTATGGATGGTAACAAGTTGTCATGGGGCCCATTTATGGGTCGAGAAATGGAAGTCCCGGGTCGCTTGGGGGTCTTGGGACTCAAGCCCATTTTCTTAGGCCCAAACATGGGTAAGCACAAGAGAAAAGGTAGCCCATTGCTTCAACTAGAGTAGCCCAACTAAAAAGCCCATAGCTCCAATTAGAATAAGCCACCCCAAAAGCCCAACCCTTGACAAAGCCATCTCATCCATTGGATAGATCATGTGGCTGTCTTAAAAGACCTATATAATTAGAGTAAAAAGCAACACAAGCCTTAGCACTCACCTGGAAAACACAAAGTCACGAAGGGGCTTAGGGATTCACATGTGAGGGGGCTGCTGGGAGGCTAAGGAGCAAGTTCCAAGGGCAAGCATTCAAGAGACCAAGGGGTATTGGCACGCAGGGGAGGATGCCATCCCTTAAACCAACAGGCGCACCCACTTTCTTTCCTTCATCAGATTTGGCCATGGAAAGAGGAAGAAAGAGGAGAAAGAAGATGGGTGAAAAAGGGAAGCTCCCCTCTGAGGCCGCCGCTGGAAGAAGCTTGGAGCACCCAAAATCTCTGATTTTGTGGGATTGGGCAGAGCTGACTTTGCCACCATGAAGTAAGTCAAGAAAGAGGAGAAGAAAGGAAGAGGAAAGCTTAGCTAGAAGGGGAAGAAACCATTAGGGTTTCTTGGAGAAGAACAAACCCCAGCAACTATAAATAGGGCATCTTCTACCCAACACAAGACAACCCACAACCTTCAGAGAGCAAGCTTTCTCTCTCTCACTTTCTCACTTGCAAACCCAGCAATTTTCATGTTATTCTCCCCCCATCTTCCTTTGCTTCCCCTGTTCTGACAGATTGACAGAAACTTTGGCAGAGTTTCCGCCAAGCTGTCGGAAGCTACGAAAATCACCCAAAACTCTTCACCAAGCCTCCTTAGAACCTCTCTTCCCTTCCATTAGAACCTATGTCCTTCATAGGAACCCCCAACTCTCTCTCTCTAAAAGTGCTAAACCCATGATAATTTTGCTCCCATGCCACATGCCTCTCATGCCAAGCCCGAAAGTTTATCTGTAAACATGAAGAAATTATCTGTAAGTTGCTTTTGTTCTTCTTTTTTTTTGGTTCTTGAGAATTCATTTGTGTAGCGGTCCATTTTCATTTGGAAAATAAGATGAAGTGATGAACTCTGTTATGATTCATGGTGAGTGTGTGTGCGTTTGTTTTATTTTTTCAAGCTTACTCTCTTTACTTCAATTTTTCCAGTTTCTACAAAGTTATCCCATTATTTAAAAAAAAGTTAAAACAAAATTAGAGTTGGGTGATATCAATATGAACTTTGATTTTTTTTTTTAAAAAAAAAAATCTG